CATGAATTGCAGATTTTAAATACATAGATTAATAAATGATCTTTATACTCACTAACTAAATTATGATAAAATAAAAAAGATTATTTAATGAGTAAATATTTATGAACATGAATTGCAGATTTTAAATACAGATATTTATACTCACGAACTAGAATAAAACGATTATTTAATGATTATGAATATGAATTGCAGATTTTAAGTACATAGATATTTATACTCACAAACTAGAATAAAACGATTATTTAATGATTATGAACATGAATTGCAGATTTTAAAATACATAGATTAATAAATCATCATTATATTCACCAACTAAATTATAAAATATTAGTAATGGATAGAAAATATAGTGATTAGATTCTAATTTGAAAATTATTAAATGTAGCTAGTATGAACTTGAATTCTGATTTAATAACTTGATAAAATACTTACTCTCTACGTTAAATAATCAAATAGTTTCGAGAAATATTTAGTTTTATTTTAAAATTAGAAATTTAATTTTAATAAATAACCAACTTTTTAATCCAATCTCTGAATTTGCTAAAATTATATTTCACGCCAATTCCATATCTGTAACAAATAGCCGTTTTAAAAATTCCCTTAAAATTACCTGCCTCAGCTGATTTCAGATAATATATAAATGCTTTTTGCTTGTCTATTTCAACCCCAATTCCTAAATAATAACAATAGCCAACTTGATACATTCCGTTAGAATTATTCATATCTGCAGATTTTTTATAATGGATGAATGCCTGATTTTCATCTTTTTCTACTCCAATTCCATATTCGTAACAACAACCAAGCCATAACATTCCGTCCGAACCATCTGTCTCAGCATGCTTTTGGTAATCAACAAAATTCAGTTGATTAAGAATGCTAGTCATTTTAGTAATGAACTAATATCACTTTGTTTTATTGATAAATGAAAAAAAATGCAAAAAAAAAAAAAAAAAATTAATCATTATTCAAATATCGGATGTGTGCATTTGTCAAATAGCTTCTATTATCGTACACTTTAGTTAAATTAGCAATTAATTACAGTTAAACTCGTAACGGTTACTTTCGATATATTAATCTGATGTTTTAAAATAAAAATATACTGTGTTTCCTGCATGAATGTGTTACAAGTCATAAAAACAGTCGCACGATCTAGACCATATAAAGCTAGTCTATGCACGCACGCATATATAAATCGCCGAATTTTCTCGCTCAGATATAGAATATCACGTGTAGTATAGCCATTTTATTATTATTGGCTAGATCCAATTTTGTAGTACATTATGTAGCGGTAAAGCTTTTTTTTTTTTGTATATATATATATCTAGCCTACATCTAGTCTAACTTCTCTAGGCCGTTTTATTTTGGCTAGCAGTTCGCATCAATAATAACCTTGTTATTTTGTAAGAACGGACCTCTCATAACGAACCTGGAATTGACAACCTACATGATGCACAGAGTCTTCCTGAAAAAGATAATAAATTTGAAAAGAATCAAACTCCTGGCACCCTATGGGTGATATAGTTAACTTTTCTATGAAAATACATAAAGAATACACCTTACTTAAGGCCAATAAGGTCAACATTCTCAAGTCACAACTAAAGAATACACTTATTAAATATGAGGCATCTATTATGAACAAACAGGTTTGGAAATTACTTTCACCTCATGCAAAGAAATCCAACAAAATTTTATCACAATTAGCATACAAACATCTGCTTTTTTACAATCTCTTGATAATATGTTCAGAGCAGTTTATAGCTCCAAACTAGATAATAGAATTACGAAGCTTTTCAAGCTTAGAAGTATATCAAAAGTTTCTTTAGCGATACAAGAACTTTGGTTTTGTATATTTAATCATTTACAAATGACTTTCATCAACAATAATTACTCAAAATTATGTTGTCAAATTATATACTATCTAATAAAAATAAAAAAGTATTCAGAGATTAGTTTAAGAATATTATTGAAAGAGAGAATATTACTAACAAATACTTTAACAAAGTAGAAAAATACTGCAAAAAGTTAGGTTTTAATAGAGGAAGTAACAGAAATATTAGGCTACCTTTTTTTTAAAGTAATTTTTAAAGAGACTATAAGCACAAAGACATTACTAGTTTTTTAACAAATTATAAACTAGATATAGTTAGGAAAACATAGCCAAATATATCTAAACAATTATATTTTCAACTAAGATTAATCTCTTACAAAGTGATCAGAAGATTAAATTTATATGTTTTAGAATAAAGAAAATTAGCAAGTTATTTATAGATTATACTAATAATACAAGAAAGCTTTTTACTCATTTGACAAATAAACATATTGCTAAGATTATATTATATCAACTCTGATTCAAAACTTTTTTCAATTTTGGATTAAGAAATCTTAAAACTATTATATATAGATATGATAAAACAAGTTAATTATAATTTACTTTGTTAAAAATAAAAATATGAGCACTTAATTTGTAGATTCTTTATACCAAATTTTTTTAAAAAAATTTATAGCAAAAAGCAAATTTTTTTAAAATTTTTTAAGTAAATATAACAAGTACTTTTAAGTAAACTTATTCTATACCTAATTTTATATACTAGTAGTTTAGTTTTATAACTTTCTTTTTTCTAAGCAGAGGTATATTCAAAAAGCAAAAGCTAGAAAAATTTCAAGTTTTTTTATAATTAGCTTTTAAACCTTTTCTTTACTCTTAAGCAAAGTTATTACTTAGTCTCTTTTAGTCATAACAAGTCTTAAACTATCTCTTTATATAAAAATTAAGCTTTCAACATCAACTCTTCCCATCGATCCTCTGACCACTTTTTTTCGAAAAGAAAATCCGACCTGCGAAAACACTTTTTTATTATACAGATAACAATATTCTTTCCTAAGTGTTCTACGACGTATTGTGGGCGA